TTGTAGGGAGATAAACACCACAACTTGTCAGCACCACTGCTCCAAGAATTCCCCAGGAGTGGGTTGTTCAAAGTGATATTTTTAATTACAAGAGATATAAAGGCTCAGGATAATGGTTCTCATGTTTGAGCACAGAACTCCAGTTCTGGACAGTGTTTCACTGATCATTTGTAGAGAAAACGTGTTCAAAAAAGGTGCTGAGGCAGCAGAGAAGGCTCCAGGCTCTCCATCTTCCTCCACAATTGATAGTCTGAATAAAACCCTTCTAAATAATTATGAAATAGCGTTTTTAGGGAGCGTTTGGCGGCTGATTTAACCAAGGGTGATTTGCAAGGCAATCACTTCTCCCCGGCGCCGTCGGAAAAATGCACATAAAGCATCAGGAACCACCTTCCAGTTAAAGCCTGGCTTAACACCCGGCAGTATTTCATGCTCTCAACTGGTTTATAGCCCAAAAATCACGCACAAAAAGGCAACAACTCCTGCTTTTCTACAGCCCCGTCGTTAAGAACTTCAACCCTCTTGAGTTAATGCGCGGGGAAAATTTATATACTTGTACTTTTTGTAAGAGGCTGAGTAAATCCTGATTTAGGGATCTCACGAGATTTGTGTCTCTTCAGAGAGGCAGAAGGAGAATTTGGGTATTTTTGTCGTCATATTTTCATATTTAGGTTCCATAAGATGAAATTTCGGGCTGTTTTATTCCCCAAGTCACTTTAATCACAATAATGTTTGTGGCACATCCCACCTAAATCAGATCCTGTTCAACCTGAACACACAAACCCACCACGATTCTCAAGGAGCAGCTGCACTGACAGACAGGTGAAAAGAAATTTGTGAGCCAATTCCTGTTAGATTTAGGGGTTTTTGGAGATGTGGGCAAGAGGTAGAGACCAAATGTGATTAAAGCCTCCGTTCCAACCATCTCTGAAGCACAAAAAGCCAAAGGAAAACACTTGATCTCATCAGAATAATGTTTTTGCTTCTGTGTTACACTTTATTCCTCTCTTTTCCCCTATCAAAGAAGTGAATGTGGGGTTTTATGTGGCATTTGTTATTATACAGCTTTTGAAGGAGCTTTGAACTGGAAGATTGAGCAGAGGAGAATCTCCATGTGAACACACCGAGCGTCTCAGTGCATTATCCAGGATGGTCTGAGTGTTCATCCCAC